TCGCTATTGCATATATAGCGCTCTCTACTGCGAGCATCGTGCATCATACGTATCTAATACCGCAGATCAAAATATATGAGCTTCATATATTCATTGTATCACATAAAGAATTATTAAATCCATAGATGCAGCTGGGGTGCGCTAGCCATTGCATTGCACACAATCTGTTAGTTCAAGTAGCCAGGTACTAGAGGGTGTAAGGACTGAAAGGTCTTTCAGCTTTCTAGTTAAGTTTTAAATGAAGGGGAAATTTTCTAAAGGAACTGTGGTGCTGTGGCGGTGGGAGGTATTACGAGATAATTTTTTCCTATCAACTGCGTTGAAGTGTCCTGCATTTCGAGTGTTAGCCTATTGTTTCTCTAGGAAGAAGGGCTAATGTTTTCGTTTCACATTTGGCTGATAAATCAGAAAGTCTCCTTGATTTTACAGAGGGATACCTCAACTATCTTACCATCTTTGACAGTTCATCACCACAATTGATCCAGGTTCATAGTCAATCCCATCTACGCTACAAGGACAGCTTCTGGGAGAAATGCACTTCCCATCATGGAGTACTGTTCCATTTGGGCAAGAGCATCCTTCAAATTGTACAGGACAACGAGCAGGATTGGCTTCACACTGGTTTTCACATGTCCTTGGGCAACCTGCATCACAGGGCGTGTACTCAAAGCAGTGACCGTCCTCACTAGGACATTGAATGGCTGAGTTTGGAAGAAAGGATAGTCATTGATGAAAAAAGTCCCACAAATATGCCTACATTTATAACATAGTTCAAATTTGATTAATATTTGAACAACTGATATAATACAGGGATTTGAGCCAACGTTAGAATCATAGAATGAAACAAGTAATACTCACGATAGAAAAGGCGTTACAAATACAGAAATAACCGAGGAGGAAAGAGGAAGAGTATGAAAGGGAATTAAAGAGTGGCCCGGATTTAGAATGAAAATTTGGAAAATGTCAGGCTCAAGTTTTCAGCATAGTACAATCGAGTCGATGATTTTTAAAGACTTAACGCCTTGGTTGGTTAATGTGGTCACAGAATCCTTCCACGAAGATTTTTCTTCTCAAGAATACCCTAATTTTTGACTTGGTAAAGTTTGTATTTTTTTTATACAAGATGAAAATTCAACTCATTTAATGTCCCTGCAATACTTACGGCACAATTCTTGTGTTCTCCATTTGATTGGCACGCCATGCTTGCAGCACTCATGGCCATAGGAGGCTATGGCTGTACACAAACACTTACAGTCACCACCGCTGTCACAAGCACAAGCATCGCGGTAGCATGCATCGTACCAGGAATCCGGGTTTACCTGAGAATCAAATATACAACAAAGTTTGGGGAAAGCTCAGTTTTTCGATGACACGTTGGATTAAAAACTTCTAAACGTTTATGGAATTTTTTCTCCATGCAATCTTTCAATCAAGTAGTGTGACAGGAAATCTGTCATAAATTAATTCATGTGTAGCCTTCTGTAGCTCGCCACCTACGACTGACTCACGACCGAGAGGCGGGGGAGGGGGGAGAATTTCCTCGTGATTGGCTAATAATGAATGTACCGCTTGCTGGGGTCGCACTTTTACAGCTGGATTAACTATAATGGGGTTACACCTTTTCGGGATTTTCGTGGGTAAGAAAATTGGGGGAGGTCGGATTTAACAATGGGATGATGTTGCCGTTTTAACAAAAGTGACAAAGATAGGGCCTACAGTTGGCCTACAGTGGAGAATAGGTTCTGAGAAGCCAGCGGCACATACCCAGCAAAAATGGACCCTAGTG